AAACAAAAAGGGCACCCTTTCTATTCCAACCCTAAACCCTAAACCATAAAACCTAAACCCTAAACCCTAAACCCGAAACCCTAAACTGTCGTAGATCAGCTTGCGCGAGCAAGGTTCAGGTATGCAAGCTTCAAGCCGTCCCGTCCCAGGCTTCAACTCCTGCAGCAGCGCCTACGAGCAGGACAGCCTCTGGGAGCCAGTGCTGGGACTCTTCAGGCAGGGTTTGGGATTTAGGGTTTAGGGTTTAGGGTTTAGGGTTTGGGGTTTAGGGTTTAGGGTTTAGGGTTAGGGTTTAGGGTTTAGGGTTTAGGGCTGAAACCCAGCTCAGTGGGGCTGGTTTAGGGTTTAGGGTTTCGGGTTTAGGGTTTCGGGCCTTTAGGGTTGAATTAGGGTTTAGGATTCAGGGTTTAGGCTTCAGGGTTCAGAGTTTAGGGGTTGGGTTCAAGGTGACCCTAAACCCTAAACCCTAAACCCTAAACCCTAAACCCTAAACCCTAAACCCTAAACCCTAAACCCTAAACCCTAAACCCTAAACCCTAAACCCTAAACCCTAAACCCTAAACCACATTGTGTCTCTCAGGCGGATGAGGATGGTCAGCATTCGGGGAGATGAAGTCGGCCGCCTGGAGCAACGCCGAATGATGCAAGCTAGGCCCCCGAACCTCAAACCCTGAGCGTCGGACCCCAAATCCGAAACGCTGTGAACCCCGAACCCTTTGCAAAAAACCTGAACCCTAAACCCTAAACCCTAAACCCTAAACCCTAAACCCTAAACCCTGTTAGCCCTCAGTCCTAAGCCCTCAAAGGCATGAATTCGCTAGTCAGTGCCTGTGGTCAGCGCGGCCACTGGGGTTTGGCACTGGACGCTCTGCATGGCATGCCTGGCGCACCCTGGCAGCGCTGGAGGCAAGGGTGTTTAGGGTTTAGGGTTTAGGGTTTCGGGTTTAGGGTTTAGGGTGGTCCCTATTTGCTTATACAACCTCGTTATACCAACAAGGCTACCCTTTCTTTATTCCTAGGTTGCTCTTGGGTCTGGAGAGGTTCAGGGTATTTACACAGGGCATGATGTTTGTTGGGTGGTACTTAGGCTCGCAGGGTTTAGAGTTTATAGGGTATACAGCATTTATCAGTTTCTGGGGTTTACAGGGTTATATACAGGGTGTACAAGGTTAGATGCAGGGCTGATAAGCTTATAGAGTTCTAGGGCTTCACGGGGTTTAACAACGGGTTTTCGGGCTTTGAAAATTGGTGGTGGAGACCCCCCCACCCCCTAAACCCTAAACCCTAAACCCTAAACCCTAAACCCTAAACCCTAAACCCTAAACCCTAAACCCTAAACCCTAAACCCTAAACCCTAAACCCTAAACCCTAAACCCTAAACCCTAAACCCTAAACCCCTCACAGCCCCTCACAACCCCGAAGCCCTAAAACGAGGCAAAGCTGGCACCCGACCAGATCAGCGTGAATTCGGCTCTGGCCGCCTGCAGGGCAGGCGCTTCGGGTTTGGGGTTTAGGGTTTAGGGTTTAGGGTTTGGGGTTTAGGGTTTAGGGTTTAGGGTTTAGGGTTTAGGGTTTAGGGTTTAGGGTTTGGGGATAAGGGCTTCGGGTTGCCCCCCTGCGAGCCCCAAGACTGACCAAGCCCGAAGCCCTGAAACCATCAGGCCTGAAACAGGCCCAAAGTGGTTCCTACAGCCCTAGACCCTGAAACCCTAAACCCAAAAACCCGCAAGCCCTGGGACTGGTACACTTTTCACCCCAAGCCCTAAACCCCAAACCCCAAACCCTAACCCTAAACCCTAAACCCTAAACCCTAAACCCTAAACCCTAAACCCTAAACCCTAAACCCTAAACCCTAAACCCTAAACCCTAAACCCTAAACCCTAAACCCTAAACCCTAAACGCCTGAACCCCCCAAAGCCATAAACCCAGGTGCGCATTGGCGGCTTGCCTTGCAGCTCTTGCTGCACCTGGCGCTCCAACGGCTTCGGAGCAGCCACCCAGCTCGGTTTGGGGTCTGGGGTTTAGGGTTTAGGGTTTAGGGCTAGGGTTTAGGGTTTAGGGTTTAGGGTTTAGGGTTTAGGGTTTAGGGTTTAGGGTTTAGGGTTTAGGGTTTAGGGTTTAGGGTTTAGGGTTTAGGGTTTAGGGCTTAGTACTTGGGATTTTTTGCAAGTTGCCATAATGAGGAAGCCATGCCATTTGCTGCAAACTTTTATATGTTCATACCATGATGACACAGTTCAAGCTTCTTATCTACCATACTCCGGAAACTTAGTTCGAGTTTTTAATTTCACAGCAGCTCGGTTTTTGTTTTGGGTCTATTGCAGCAATTAACCGGTCTAAGTTTAGGGTTCAGAGTTGCGGGCAGAGGGCCCAAGCGTGAAGCGCGGAGGGTGCCCTGGCTGGTAGCAAGACCACCCCTCAACCCCAACAACCTCACCCAAAACCTGAGCTCCAAGTCCCTAAGCCCTAAACACTACACCAATACACCCCTACACCCCACAAACTCCCTACCCCCCTACCCTAAACCCTAAACCCTAAACCCTAAACCCTAAACCCTAAACCCTAAACCCTAAACCCTAAACCCTAAACCCTAAACCCTAAACCCTAAACCCTAAACCCTAAACCCTAAACCCTAAACCCTAAACCCTAAACCCCCCAACCCGCTGAGTCCCCTAAGCCACCTCTCAGCCCTCCAAAGTCTCCTCTTTGAACCTTCTAAAGCCCTCTAAAACCCCCCTTAAACCCTCTAAAGCCCCTAAACCTCAGACCCTAAACCCTAAACCCTAAACCCTAAACCCTAAACCCTAAACCCTAAACCCTAAACCCTAAACCCTAAACCCTAAACCCTAAACCCCTCCTCTGGTTGGGGGGGCCGTCAAAGGTGCTGTGACGTTCAACTCTGCACTTGGCTCCGTGGAGTCGCAGTCAGAGTCTTCTTGGTCCCGGCTGCCTGGGTGCAGGGAAAAGGGCCCTAGGCTAGAGCTTGTAGGGCCCTAAACCCCAAGCCCTGCAATTGGGTAAGATCATAACCTCCTTAAATATAGGGTGAAGCCCCCTCAAAATCGGAGGTATGTGAAGTCCCAGGTAAAACATCAACCCGGATCACGGGTTTGGGGTTCAGGGTTTCCTAAACCCTAAACCCCAAACCCTAAACCCTAAACCCTAACCTAAACCCTGAACTCTAAACCCTAAACCGGGTTTCAGGTTTCATGGCCCCCCGGGTTCGGGTTTAGGGCCTTCGTTGCTGCGTTCAGCATTGTGGCTTCTGGGGCTCAACCCTCTACCCAAGCCCCAACCTACTAAAGCCTTGGTTAGGGGTTTAGAGTTTAGGTAAACCCCAAACCCTAAACCCTAAACCCTAAACCCTAAACCCTAAACCCTGAACCCTAAACCCTAAACCCGAAGACTTGGGGTTGAGGGTTTAGGGTTGAGGCTCCTGGCCTTGTTGCGGCACATGCGGGAGCGGGTGGTGTCTCCGACCATCATCACCTTCAACACAGGCGCCGTGGGGGTGCGGGAGGGCATGGAGGGTAGGCGACGTGCCAGCAATGCGCCTTATGAAGCCTCAACCCTAAAACCTAAACCCTAAACCCTAAACCCTAAACCCTAAACCCCTAGAGTTCTAGGTAGTTGAGGGCCCAGGAAATCGCTTCACGTGGGTGTTTTGCGACGCTTTTGTCCTTTCGCGGTTCCTGCCTTTCTCCACCGCGTGGTCTCTTTTTGGTTCACTTTGGTGCTTTAAACTCAGAACCCTCTAAAAACCCCAAACCCAAAACCTAAACAAAAGCCTTGGACTCTCTGCACTTTTCTTCTTTAGAAGGCCTTCTGTTCAAGGGAATCCTCTTATTTCGGGATCTCTATTCGGGGTTCCCCTATTGTCGTACCCCCCCCAAAAGCCTCGGGACCCTCTGCACTTTTTCTTAAGCAGGCATTCGGCTGCTACAGAACAGCCCACGCTGGAGCGCCTGCCTGCGGTTGCTGGCGCGGGCCGGGAGCCAGCGCGCGCGCCGCGATGCTGCTAGCACCTCGTGCGGCACAGGGTTTCGGCTTCCCGGAAGCCTCGAAACCCTTCGGGGCCTGCAAGGTTACTTAGGGTTTGGGGTTTAGGGTTTAGGGTTTGGGGTTTACGGTTTGGGGTTTAGGGTTTAGGGCTCAGGGATCTTGAGGGTATCCGAGCAAGCTGAAGGCCAAAAACTTTCAGATTTCGTGGCTCCGGCCATTGTCGTAGCTGCTGTGAAACGCTGCACCTCAACAATAAACCCTAAACCCTAAACCCTAAATTTTGCGGGCGCAAGCGCCCGTGTGCGCCAGCGCATCTTGGGTTTGGCTTCCAAAGCGATTGTCTCGAGGAGTGATTTCTGCGCAAAGCATGCGTTTAAGTAAATTGAAGAAGAGTTTCAACAAAGCCTCCTTGCTTGCCCCGGACAGCTTTGCAAAGAAAGGCAAGGGAGGCCAAAGGGTTAACTGCTCAATTTACTTAAGCCTCATTGTGTGCCCAAGACACCTTTGCAAAGAAAGGCAAGAGGAAGCCCAAGGGCTCAGCAGCACTTTACTTCAGTCCTCTCGTCTGTGGGATAGAGAGCCATGAAGGCTATCAGAAGAGGAGGATCATCTGAAGTGAAGGAGAACAAACGAAGGCCATGTACCTTACGTTTGCCTTAATTGAAAGAGAACAGAGGAGGGCCATGTGCCTTAAGTTCGCCCTTAATTGAAAGACGGGTATCTTCGAAAGGCTATGCGCCCAGAAGGACAACAGAGGCAAGAGGCTCACTTTACTTCAGTCCTCTCATCTGTGGCATAGAGAGCCATGAAGGATAACAAAAGAGGAGGATCATCTTAAGAAGGCTCTGAAAGGGACCCAAAAAGCCCCCCAAAAGAGCTAGAACAAACTCAAAATGGTTCCCGAAGGTTTTAGCACGGCACCAAAGCAGTCGAAAGGTTCCTCAAGGGGCCCCGACGAAGGGTCCCTAGAAAGGGGGCCTGGTCGCAAAAAAAGCAAGCCAAAAGGCTCCAACTCCCGATAGCAAGGAGAAAGGGGGCCCGACCAGGGGGCGTGACCGAACTAAGGTTGAGGGTCGACCCCTTTAAGAAAACTTGCTCCCTTTTTCCGGGCGCCAGCTGCGCTGTCGGACCCTAAACCCTAAACCCTAAACCATAAACCCTAAACCCTAAACCTAAACCCTAAACCCTAAAGCCTAAACCCTAAACCCTAAACCTTAAAGCCTAAACCCTAAACCCTGAACCCTAAACCCTAAGCCCTAAGCCTTAAACCCTAACTAAACAAAAAACCCTAACTAAACACAAAACCCAAAACCCCAAAACCCTTAACCTTAAACCCTAAACCCTAAACTCTAAACCCTAAACCCTACCCTACAAGTCCCAAACCCTCCGCTCCTTGAGGCCTCGCGCTGGTCCTCGACAGCCTTGCGGCATCCGCTCGCGCCAGGGCATCAAACTCTTTGTGAAAGGTTTAGTGTTTAGGGTTTAGGGTTTAGGGTTCAGGGTTTAGGGGTCCTACAGTTCTTGGAGGTTTAGGGTTTAGGGTTTGGGGTTTAGTTATGGTTGAGGGTTTAGGAGGTTCATGGGTACTTGTAAGTAAGGTTAGAAGTAGGGTACCGATGGTTCTAACCTTATGTAGGGCACTTAAGACACAACTTTCAGTACCCCTGAACCTTCAAGTAAGGCCTATAGTCCTGAAGAGAACCCCCCCCCCACCCCCACCCCCAAAACTCCTGCAAAAAGCCTCAGCCCAGAATCCTGAGCCGCAAGCCACAAACCCCAAACCCTTTGCGGAGCTCCTCCGATCCTCTGATGTCTCAGGCGGAACGCACAGACGTGTTTTCGTACCCAAGGCCTTTCTGGATCGAAAACAAGATACACCAGTCACGCAAGGGTTCGTGTCTTCCGTACCCTAAACTCTAAGCCCCAAACACTAAACCCGCATGTTCCAGACTAAAGGCTTCCTCAGGATGCACCTGGTAGTCGCTGGTCTCACGTCTCGCAAGTAGCACAGCCTCTAATTAAAGCGTGTCTGTTGCACTGCATGTCCTCTGAGCATACCCGAACCCAACCCGAAAAAAAGGAGCCTAAACCCCAAACCCTAAACTCCCTAAACCCGAAACCCCAACCCTAAACTCCCTAAACCCCAAAACCCCAAACCCTAAACCCTAAACCCTAAACCCTAAACCCTAAACCCCAAAGCCTTTACCACACCCCGAGGTCCCCTTTGGCCGCCGGCCCTCGTGCTGCTGAGCAGCGCCCGGCGTGAGGGCCTCGTGGCCTCCGACGCGGGGCATGGAGCGACTTGGGTTTAGGGTTTGGGGGGTTTGGGTTTAGGGTTTGGGGTTTGGGGTTTAGGGTTTGGGGAGTTCAGAGTTTGGGGTTTGGGGTTTGGGTTTGGGGTTTGGGGTTTGGGGTTTGGGTTTAGGGTTTGGGGTTTAGGGCTCGGGGTTTGGGGTTTAGGAATTGGGGTTTGGCTCGGGGTTCAGGCTTTAGGTTTGGGCGGTTTGTTTTGGTTTGCTGGTTGCTGAAGGTTTGTTGGGCGTCGGGGGCCTTGGCGCCTGTTGGAGCTTTTTCTGGTGTTGTAATGTGGGTTCTGGGTTTAGGGTTTAGGGTTGATGGTCCTGAGGCCGCTAAGGGCTTGCTCAAGTTTTTGCACCTTTGGTGAGTACTGGGCTTGTTCACTGGTGGAAAGGCTTATGGGGTTTAGGGCTTTTGGGTTTTCAGGCTCTCGTGTTTGGGTCAGGGTTTAGAGGGTTTGGGGGTGTGAGGCCGGTAGGGTTGAACGTTTGAATCTTACGGTTCTGCGTTCAGGGTTGAACGGCTAGGGCTGTTTAGGGCTCGAAGCGCCTAACCTTCCTAAACCCAAAACCCAAAGCCCCAAATCCCCCCCCCCCCCACCTAGCCACGAATGCCTGCTCGGCCTGGGGCCCTAAAGGGATTGACTTGCTGTTGGTTGATCTCTTTTCAGGCTCTTCCTTTGCCCCAATGCTTAGTCAATGACCCTGTGCCAGCTGCAGGAATACAACCTTCAAACCTTAGAACCTTAAACCTTAAACCCTAAACCTTAACCCCTAAACCCTAGACCCTAGACCCTAAACCCTAAACCCTAAACCCTAAACCCTAAACCCTAAACCCTAAACCCTAAACCCTAAACCCTAAACCCTCCACAGCAGAGAGCTGAGGTGGTGATTCAGGCTGCCACCCGACAAGGGCACTGGCACCGGGCGCTGGCGCTCCTCGATGGGGCGGCGCCCACGGCCGCTGTGGCGATTTGGTTTGGGGTTGGGGGTTGGGGGTTTAGGGGTTTAGGGGTTTAGGGGTTTAGGGGTTTAGGGGTTTAGGGGTTTAGGGGTTTTGGGGTTTTGGGGTTTTGGGGTTTTTGGGGGTTTCGGGGTTTAGGGGTGTCGGGGTTTAGGGGTTTAGGGATTTAGAGATGAATTCGGGGGTCCTCTCTGTAAGGGGCAAACCGCACAGCATCGCTTCCTAGTAGTCCAAGTTAGATGTGGGCCTCATTTTTCGGCTGCTATATAGTACTGTGTGTTTTTTAAGGGTGCAAATAACGTGACAGTCCTGCCAGAGCCTTGTTTGCTGTGTGAAACCCCAGACCCTCACGCCCAAAACCTTCCACAACCCCCAAACCCCACACCCTAAAACCCCCAAAACCCCAAACCCCTAAACCCTGAAGCCCCCAAACCCTCAACCCCCCCCCCCCCCCCCCCCCCGCAAAAAAAAAAAAAAAAACCTAAGCCCTAAACAGGAACCTTTTCCCTTGCAAAAAAAGAACCCTAAACCCTAACCCCTAAAAGAAGGAGCTGAGTCGGCTGGCCCTGGTGGACGCCTGTGAGATGGGGTGCTTGCCTCTGGCAGCCACTGGGCTGCTCTGGGAGGTCTCCGCAGCTGCCGGTGAGGTTGTGTGCGCGCTCGGGAAAAAACCCCTGGGAGGGTTTAGGGTTTAGGGTTTAGGGTTAAGGGTTTAGGGTTCATATTGCCTTTCTAGGAAGTATTCGTAGTAGAGGGTTTAGGGTGCATACTGCCTTCATGGGAATTAGAGTAGCAGAGGGGCTTGGTTGGGGGAACCCGAAACCCTCAGCCCTAAACCACCCTAAACCCTTCTTCTGCAACCTTTTCCTATGGTGGCTAGGTGAATCCTTACTGGGTTTAAGGAGGAATCATGTTTAGGAAGAATTTTCGGAGGGCTTGAGGGGCCAACCTAGGTGATGACCCCCTTTTTTTGCTCTGAGTGGATGTGGGGGTTTACGAAGTTGGGCTTATTATAAGGAAATCTTACTATTTGGGGGTCTATTGCAGGGGTTTACGAAATTAGGGGTATCGTGATTATAAGGAAATCTCACTATTTGGGGGGTCCGTTTTAGGAGTCCCCTATTGTCGTACAATCCCGTGTGATGCGCAATGGTTGAGAGCGACGGGCCCACAGAGCCCAACACCCCTTACTGAAGGAACAGACTTTACATTATGCTCAGGATCCCGAAATGGGGGTTTCCGAAATTAGGGTACCTTATTGGGGTCCTTATAATGAGGGAATCCTCCAATTTAAAGGGTCCCCTGTTCTCGTAAACCCATAGAGTTTAAGGTAGATTCCTCATTGGGCTCTCTGGGGTCGAGGGGCAGTCCTCAATCTACCTTTTCGCGTTTGGATGCCACATGCTCTCCGGTACCGTGGCCCAGTGGCAGGAAGCGGTAGTGCGAGCAGCAAGATACGAGCGGCAGTGCGAGTCCACATCAGCACGGAGTGATTGTTGCAAACATGGGCCTTGAGACACCACTGTCAGCATCTTCGAACAGGATTCATATGAAGCAGGGTCCATATTTCTGTTTCTGGTGAGTGTATATAAGGTTCCTTTTAATATTGGTGAGTGTACCTGGTGTCCCTTTGGGGGTACAAGAAATATATCCCCTACTTCATATAGCCTAGCTGCCACTACCTGCGCCTGCCTGAAGAGGCCCGGACGGAGAGTTGTAGCCTAATGTCGGGTAGTCCTGAAACCTCAGCCCTCAAGCCCTGAAGCCCCACACCTAGAGCCCTAAACCCTATAAGCCCTAGACCTTATAAGCCCTAGGGCCCTAAACCTTACACCCCTAAAGCCCCAAACCCAAAAGCCCCCAAAGCCACACCGGCGCCCGCATGGCGACAAAAGCCCCAAATTCTCAAGCAATTTCAACTTGCAGGCGCGCTTCGTACCTAGTAGGAAACTCCCTAAACCCTAAACCCTAAATCCTGAACCCTTAACCCTAAACCCTAAACCCTAAACTCTAAATCCTTAAACCCTGTAGGGGCCCATGGTTCAGGGGGTTGCAGGGTTTAGGGTTGGGATGTTCCGCCTGATACTAAGAGTCCTTAATAGGGATACCCCTGTTATGATCCCTATTAAGGACTGTCAGTATCAGGGAGAGCATCCCAAGGCCTGGGGTCTAAGGGACCAAACTGGAGAAACTAGGGGCTTCAGGGTTTGGGGTTTTGTGGCTTTGTGGCTTGGGCTTCAGGGTTTTGGGGGATTAGGGTTAGGGGTTTGCGGTTTGGGGGGTCTAGGTCTTTTGAGACTTACGGTTGCCTTTCACCCGATAGCCCCTAAACCCTAAACCCTAAACCCTAAACCCTTAACCCTTAACCCTTAAGCCTTAACCACAGGCAAAACTTGGAAGCAGCTCCGCCAATGGCCTGTGCTGAGCAGGACCTACTTGCTGGGCTTGAGTTTGGGGCTTAGGGCTTAGGGCTTAGGGTTTAGGGTTTAGGGTTTAGGGTTTAGGGCTGAGGGCTTAGGGCTTAGGGTTTCCGCTCAGGGACTAAGGACTTAGGGGTTGTTGTGTGTGTGAGGCTTGCCACCAATCCTCTGAAGGCGCCCTAACGGAAACCTCAGGGAACAGCCTCAAAACCTTTTTGGCCTCGCAAGCAAGTGGTAGGTGCGAACGAAAGAGCGCTTGCGGCGGTACATTGAATCCAGGCCTCCAACACCTTACTTCGCCTTTAGTTGAACTTTAAACTGTTTGGGTTTCCTCATTTAGTAGGAGTCTTAAAGTTTAACCTTTTTTCCCCCCTTGGTTATTGGAGAAGTAAGACACAAGAAACGTCGAAACTCGGCCAGAACGCCATGAAGCGACGGTTGAAACCCCATCCAGGAGGCTCAAGGTGCCCTGGCCCTAAACCCTAAACCCTAAACCCTAAACCCTAAACCCTAAACCCCAAACCATAAACCCCAAACCCCAAACCCTAAACCCTAAACCCTAAACCCTAAACCCTAAACCCTAAACCCTAAACCCCCCGAAGCCCAGAGCCCAACGCGCGCTGAACCAAATACTCCTCGTACAGGGGCCTAAAGCAATGCCAACGCCATTCCCGTCGGATCCTTAGGCGTAATGATATCAGCAACCCAGAGCATTCATGCAATGAAACCCCTAAACCCCTAAACCCCTAAACCCCTAAAACCCTGAACCCCTAAACCCCAAACCCCTAAACCCAAAACCCTAAACCCTAAACCCCTAAACACTAAACCCTAAACCGCGTCAGGAGGTGCAGGCGTCGGGTCAGCAGGACTTGCCCCGGACGCTTTGGGTGGGCGACGTGGAGCCATGGATGGTGGGCCACCCGATGGGGCGAGGGGTTTAGGGTTTAGGGGTTTTGGGTTCAGGGTTTTAGGATTTGAGGGTTTGAGGGTTTGTAGGGTTTGAGGGTTTTAGGGTTTGAGGGTTTTAGGGGTTTGAGGGTTTTAGGGTTTTAGGGTTTGAGGGTTTGAGGGTTTGAGGGCTTGAGGGTTTGAGGGTTTTGGGCTACCTGGGTTTAACTAGCGCTTTGGATTTCGGGTTTAGGGCTTGGGGCTTGGGCTTCACGTGGGGCACCCCCACTAGGCCCTTGGTGCTCAGAGGTGCGCGCTTGAGCTTGCGTGATCCTTGCTTCCTTTTGGGGCTGGGTGGGGGGTGTGGGTGCTTTGAGGTAGAAGTTCAGTTTTAGGGCGGGGGGGGGGGGGGGTAGTGTTTAGCTTTTAGGGTTTAGGTTTCATTGTTTTGAGGGTAGAGTAAAGGGCTCCAGGCTTTCTAGCCTAGCCAGCTGCTTGTGTGAAGGTCATACTGGATGCCCCTAACTACCCAGCACAAGACAGAGGAAGGCCTACATAGGGGTAGTTAGGGTAGGGGGGGGGTTTCAAGCTGGGAGAAGAGCATCACTCAGACCTTTAGTAGCTCCTATACCTTACTTCTACCACCCAATTCCGAACCCTAAACCCGAAACCCGAAACCCTAAGTCCGCCTTAATTGACTAAATCCAAAGCCCCGTACACCCTCGACACCCTAAGGTCTCGACCCTGAGTTGCATTGAAACCCGCAGGGGGGTTTACGAAGACAAGTGTACCTTATTGGGGTCCTTATTTCAAGGGAACCCCATTCTTTGCGGACTATAAACCCTAAACCCTAAACCCTAAACCCTAAACCCTAAACCCTAAACCCTAAACCCTAAACCCTAAACCCTAAACCCTAAACCCTAAACCCTAAACCCTAAACCCTAAACCCTAAACCCTAAACCCTAAACCCTAAACCCAAATGCCTCGCACCTTTCCAGGATGAGCGCTACCTCTCAAGCTGCTTCGAGGGCACGGGTGAGGTGAAGAACGCCCCTCTGGCCGAAGTTCATCTTAGTAGCTGACTGAGTACACTTTACACTTTTTGGGGACACTCTAATCCCTATGGATCTGAAAGTGTACACTCTTTTGGGGCTTAGGAACTCAGCAACGAAGTAGCTTTCTAGTAAAAGCTTGAGTCAGCACTACCATCTATGCTGTGAGGCTTCCGGATAACCCGAACACTTAACCCCCAAACCCACGTTCAACTCCTTCAAGCCTAAACCCGTAGCTGTAAGGCCTGAAAAGTGGGTTTAGGGTTTAGGGTTTAGGGTGTAGGGTTTAGGGTTTAGGGTGACCAGTTGACGCCTGTGCCCAGATCAAAATCTCTCGCCGCGTTACGGGGCGCAGCTGCGCGTTCCTTGAGTTTGCCCGGCACGAAGATGCCGGGAAACCCAGGCTTCGGGTTTAGGGTTTAGGGTTTAGGGTTTCGGGTTTAGAGTTTAGGGTTTAGGGTTTTGCGCGAGAATCCTGCACCCGACGTAGGCCCTAAACCCGAAACCAGCCCGGCGCTAAACCCTGTAAACCCTGTGCCCGAACCCCCTCCCGCACAGACCCTAAATCCCAAGAGCCTGCGTACGCTCGGCCGCAAGTCCTGTGGTCTCTAAACCCTAAGCCCTCTGTCCCTCAAACCCGCAAACCCCTGAACCCCAGGCTTATACACCCTAAACCCAAACCCCCTGGGCTCAGGGCGCCGCGTTACTGGCGAGCACAGGTGGGCCCTTTCGCTGCGCACAAGGCGGGCTTCTGAGCTTACATTCTTGTGATTTATTATGCTTCGGCCCAGGGTGAGCTTGACGGCGGCATGTTGGTGAGGCATGTTGGGGAGCTGTCGCTTTCGCCAGGCCACTCATTCCGCCTCAACTGGGCCCAGCCGCCTTCTCAGAAATGCAGGGCCGAGGGAGACCCTCCGAGCTCTGAACCTTCTAATGATGTGCTTAAGAACCCCCCCCCCGCCCCCAAAAAGAAAAGAGAACAATCCCAAAAAGGTTATTACCCTTGTAAGGAAGAACACTTTTAGTTTTGGTAGGGGGATTCTTGGGCAACGAGTAAGAAGCCTAATTTCAGGGGAGAGCCCCGACCATTGTGGACGAGTTGGGAGGGGGGGGGGGGTTAGGGTTAACCCTAAACCCTAAACCCTAAACCCTAAACCCTGAACCCTGAACCCTGAACCCTGAACCCTAAACCCTGAACCCTAAACCCTAAACCCTAAACCCTAAACCCGAAACCCTAAGGTTCGGATCCTTTGGGGACCGGGACCGCCACAGCAAGAATGTCTCGGCCCGCCACTCGACCTCCTGCCCACGCGCAGTCATGCGGGTCGTTCTCTGAAGCCGGGTCCCTTGTTGGGTGCTTATGAAAAAGGGTTTAGGGTTTAGGGTTTAGGGTTTAGGGTTGAGCCGTACGATATAGGGACGTACCACAAGAGGACCCTAGTACAGAGAGCTACCCCTGTGCACGCCTTGATGTGTAATGGTGCTTATCTTGCTAGCCCAGAGGTACCCATTACCCTTTTTTTGGTTTAAGGTTCCCTTTTTTAGGGGTTTAGGGTTTAGGGTTTAGGGTTTAGGGTTTAGGGTTTAGGGTTAACCAACCCAACAAGGGATGCCCTGATTATAAGGTAGTTCCTAGGCTACCAAGTTATTAAAAACGGTGCCGTGCTATATAGGGACGTACCACAAAAGGAACCTAATATATAGAGCTGCACATGCGCGACCGTGCGTGATGCTGGCAGCTCTACGTCGGGGGCCTCGATGCCTCGGTCAGGGAGTCTGACCTGGCCAAGATCTTTGAGAGGCAGCCGGCTTGTTTGCGGTTAGGGGAAACCCATGAGCCATCAGCAGTCAAGGGACTAAAGGAGGGACCCTTTTACGGGACCTTAGGGCCTATTCAGGGGTATTGGGGGCCTACTCAGGTATATTTAGGGGAATAAGATTAAGGGTCCCTTCTAGGGGTCCCTTCTTATACCCTGAAATCAGCAGTGTACGTTGCGGTGCAGAATGTACCGTGCCCTGAGCCAGGTATCCATCGGTGTGCCAGGTCAAGGTGCTGTTCTCAACTTGTGTCCACTGCTGCCTTTGACAGGTGTGGGCCCAGAATGTAGGTCAGGAAGGCCCCCCCCTAAGTTGCTACAGGAAAGCTGAAGTGCATCTGTGCGATCCCTCGCATTTCACACTAAGAAGCCGGACAGTAAGACACCCCTCTCCCCCTCCCCCCCCAAACCCCAAACCCCAAAACCCTAAACCCTGAAGCCCTGTGAAAAGCCCAAACCCAGGTCATCACAGACTCCGTCACCTCGCTGTCCAAGGGCTTTGGCTTCGTACGCTTCCGCCACGGTCTCAACAGGGGGAGGGTCTGTTGGGGCGTTCAGCGTCTTGGAGTTAGTAGTTTTATACGTTCGGGGTTTAGGGTTTGAGGGCTGTTGGGGTTCAGGATTTCTGGTGCTGGAGTTAGGGCTGTAAGCTTCTGGTGTCAGGGCTTTCAGGGTTCGGCGGCCGGGACGCACTGAGGTGATGCCTCCGAAGCGGATCAAGCTCTGCGAGAGATACAGGCCCGCCATCACTTTGGGTTTGGGTGCCAAGGTTTCGGGTTTAGGGTTGAGGGTTTAGGGTTTAGGGTTGATTGGTTCGTTGGCCTAGGCGTTTTGCTTCTCAAAGGAGAAAGGAGGCAGTGCAGTGTCTGTGCTGGTGCACTGATACGACGGCCTTGTTGCTGGCGGGGTGCTCCGCACCGTCATGCGCTCTTAGGGGTTGGGATTGTACGAACAGCCCTTAATCGGGATGATGATAGGGGGGTCACTATAATCCGTATTAAGGACTGTTTGTGTGTGTTAGTATGTACTTAGTAGCTGAACAAGTTCCCTTTATACACTTTTGGGAAACACAATCCCCTATAGAACTGAAGGTGTGCACTTTTTCTTTTTTTTTTTGGGGGGGGGGGGGGCTTATGAATTCAGCAACGAAGACTATGTAGGTAGGCCCCCCTAGCCTAGGGTGCCCAAAAGCCCTAAAACCGAAAGCAAGGGACTTAAAGGAGGGGCCCTTATAAGGGACCTTAGGGGGGTATTAGGGCTACTTAGGGGCTACTGACGCATATCAGGGACTATATAAGGTATATATATATATATATATATAGGGGTTATATAGGGGAATAAGATTAAGGGCCCCTTCTGGGGGTCCCTCCTTATCCCCCCTAACCCTAAACCCAAAAAACCCCCTAAACCCTAAACCCTAAACCCTAAACCCTAAACCCTAAACCCTAAACCCTAAACCCTAAACCCTAAACCCTAAACCCTAAACCCTAAACCCTAAACCCTAAACCCTAAACCCTAAACCCTAAACCCCCTTGAGAAGGAGTTTTTTTGCCCCTCGGCTTTCGATAGTGCCTGCTGCAGGGCGTCGTCCTTGGAAGCAAGCAGATCAAGGCCTTTTAGGGTTTAGGGTTTAGGGTTTAGGGTTTAGGGTTTAGGGTTTAGGGTTTAGGGTTTACGGTTTCGGGTTTCGGGTTTTGGCCGGGGGTTGGGGTGTTAGGTCGGCCCCTGACAGAAACCTTAACTTTAATATCCTAAATCCTAAGCCGCCTCAACCCTAAACCCTAGACCCTATACAGAGTTTCCAATTCCTGGTGATCTCTCCTCACTTCGTATATTTAGTTCTATCGCTACGTTCAGTCTATTTCACTGGCATTCATGCGTCCTACATTCCATGTCGTCCTTATAATGCCAGTTAAATAGTCTTCTCTTCGTAGCAATACTATACGCGCGAATTAAGGACTTTTAGTATGCGCGTAACATTTAGCCTTGACCACGCTGCACCCGTCGTTGTGGGGACTACCCTAAACCAGCCTCAACACTTTGACCGAAACCCCTGCGACCCTAATCCTAAACTAGGGTTTAGGGTTTAGGGTTTAGGGTTTAGGGTGTAGGGTTTAGGGTTTAGGGTTTAGGGTTTAGGGCTTTAGTTAAGCCAGCTAAACCCCAAACACCAAACCCTAAGCTCTTAAACCTTAACCTCAACTTCCCGAACCTGCCTCAAACCACCCCTCCCCCCCCTCCCCCCCCGCCAGGTGAAGCCTGCGAATCGCTTCGAGGCTGGTGGGGTTTAGGGGCTATGGGGAGCGGACTCGGGTTTAGGATTCACATAGGGCTTGGGGTTCTAGGGGTTGGGGTTACAGGTTTATAGGGCTCAAGGTTGGCGATTTATAAGAGTTATTGGGGTTGAGGGGGTGGAGAATCCCGAGTTGTGGGATCCGGGGCTGTGAGGGTTCAGGCTTTGGGGCTGTAGGAGGGCTTGGGGGGTTTAGGGTTTTGGGGGGTTTCGGGGCTTAGGGGTCTTTAGGGTTTGGGGTTTAGGGGTTTAGAGTTTAGGGGTTTAGGGCTTAGGGGTTTGGGATTTAGGGAAGGTTTAGGGTTGCTAGGGCTATGGGGTTTAGGGTTTAGGATTTGGGGTTTGGGGTTTAGGGTTTCGGGTTTAGGGTTTAGGGTTGTTTTCGGCCTTAGGGGGAGAGGATGACGAGTTGAATCACCGACTTGGGATCTTCGGGCTTAGGGTGTATTTAAAGATCATGAGGGAATATACGGGCCATACTCGGCGTGTATGAAGAGAACCCTGTAGGGGTACAACCTTAGGGGTATGAGTCTTAATCCCTTGATTCGGCCGGGAGAGGTCTTCGGATTCTGCAGCGTATTCTGCCCGCGCGCACCCTTGAGAGCCAAACCCCTAGATATATCCCTTGGCCCCAATCCCCTAAACCTCCCAAACCCTAAACCCTAAACCCCAACCCCAAACCCCTAACCTCTAAACCCTAAACCCTAACCCTAAACCCAAAAATACTAGACCCTAGCGAGATTCCATCTCCGCACGCTCCCCAAGCTCCAAAACCTAACCGAACCCTCAACCCCTCAACCCCTCAACCCCTCAACTCCGCGAACCCCTCAACTCCTAGAACCCCTCAACTCCTCCAACTCCTCAAACCCTCAAGCCCGCAACTAGGGAGGGTTTAGGGTTTAGGGTTTAGGGTTTAGGGTTTAAAGTCGCTAAACCCTGGACCTTACAAGCCCCAAACCCTAAACTCGGCTCCAGGGAAGGGAGCGAGAAGGATCCTCTGCTGTGCAGGTGGGGGGAGGGTTTAGGGTTTAGGGTTTAGGGTTTAGGGTTTTGGGTTTTGGGTTTAGGGTTTAGGGTTTAGGGTTTAGGTTTTAGGTTTTAGGGTTGCCATTCGCGCGAGCCAACAAATGTCCTACAGTAGGTCGCAGGGTGGGCTCTATAGCCTCTTATTCCCTTGTTTTTAGGGGTTCAGGTTCCGTTCTAAGCCCCCCTTAAACCAAAAGAGGCGCCCTTTTTTGTTCCTAGGTTACTCTTGGGTCTAGTGTCATGTGCGAAAGAAACACTGATCGGTCCATTTGTTGATACCGGCGCAGGTCGAATGAACACGCATGCTTGTCCAGAAAGTTTGCACGTTCACCTTCGGGGCTAAACCCTAAACCCTAAACCCTAAACCCTAAACCCTAAACCCTAAACCCTAAACCCTAAACCCTAAACCCTAAACCCTAAACCCTAAACCCTAAACCCTAAACCCTAAACCCTAAACCCTAAACCCAAAACCCTAAACTCTAAACTCTAAACTCTGAGCCCAGGCCACGTTGCTGAAGGCAATCTGTGTCAATGGCCTCGAGAAAGCTTCCTCCGAGGTGCCGGCCTGCAGACTGGGTTTCGGGTTTAGGGGGTTTCGGGTTTGGGGGTTTAGGGTTTAGGGTTTAGGGTTTAGGGTTTGTTTCGGGTTCAGCGGGGTTTAAGGGGGTTGGGGGGTTCAGGAAGTTTAGGGGGTTTGGGGATGTTTGGGACCTAAGCCCTAAGCCCTAAACCCTAAACCCT